CGGTAAAAATTTTTTTTTTTTTTTCCCCCCCCCCCCCCCCCCCCCCCCAACCCCCCTCCCTCCTTTCCTAGCACTGCCACTTTAAGAAATGAACCAATGGACTTAATGGACTAATTTCCTTTTACAGGAATATGTTAGCTATACAAGTCAATAAAAAATCAAATTAAGTTATCCATGTCAGTTTTTCGTAAATTAAAATTTATTAAAAGGAAGTGACAATAGTTTTAACTTCCATTGTACTTTAAACAAAGTAGTAGGATTAAAATGTTCAAAATGAAATTGATAGCTAAAAATGGAAGTCTACTTGCTGGTGAAGCAAACAACTATTATAGCTCTTTACAGGTATATTAGAGCATAGCACAGGCCTACAATTGATGTTGTCTACCACTACGGAAGAACAAAATAAAAATAGAATATCTACCTGTAAATAACTACTTCTGGTAAAATCAGGAATTCTGGTAGCATCAACATCACTTTGTAAAAATTTCACTAATCTACAAACAGAAATAGATGGAGATGAATTTTTCATTTTTTTTTAGAACGTATTTCAGATAAACTTAAGATTTAATGTATCAATTCTGTAGTATATATTGTTGTACTTGACATCTCATTTCTGATCAGTCAGCTCTCTTAATTTGCTTATACGTATACAAATTTCCATATGTAGCCCCCTTTCCAAGCCAGCTGTCACAGTGAAGTTTTATATCCAAATCAAATCAACAAAATTGGAGAAGCTCCCAAGAACGGACATTCAGATATGAGAATATAGTTCAGAGAATTGAAAAAAATATTTAGTCAGACATTTACTTACCTTTTTCCTAAGTTAGCTCTATTTAAATGGAATGGAATACATTGAGTACGTAATGTAGAATTCTCACATGTATTTTGAAAATAGTCTGCTAAACTAACATGCCATTTAGCTTTTTCACTAGCATTACTTAATAAAATCTTCTCTACGGCCTACAAAGTCAGGTACAAATATTTGAAATTGGTGGGGAAGATCTATTGACTTTTTTAAGGACATGAGTCATCTACATGGGGATACTTTTCTCTTCTTGTTTGGGCTCTGAGTAAAATTTTGCACAAAAAAATCACTAAGGAGCTTTTTTCCTCATCAGCCACTACAATCTATAACGCTGACCAGGGGAACCAGATTAACAAAATTAGGATATATCATATATGTTCTGTTTGGAGTGAACCCCAAATATTTAAGTTAGTGAGCAAGAGTCTAACTTGCCGAGTCAAATCAGCTCCTCAAAAAAAAATAAAGAATACAATTTTACCTTCCATATTGACTCGTGGGAAAATGTTAGTAGTTCATGAGGATATCCTACAGTTCTGATGTAAGGCTTTAAATGACGTCTGGCTTGTGCCCAATGTAATGGTGGTGCTTGTATAGTTTCATTTTTAACAATATCGCCCAATATTTTTAATATATCAACCAATGGTAGTCCATTATATGAAACACCTATCAGGCACAATGTCTGTAAAATTGAAAAAATACATATTGTATCAAATCAATTCAGAAAAAACGGTTACTGTAAAATCTAAAGTGATCAAAAGACCTTTGACCTAACAGACCCTAATTTTTATATTCACAATAATTCAAATATCGATCTCAAAATAAGCTAAGAGATTTTGTTTACTGGGTTTTGAGTTAAAAAAAAAGAAATACTTAGAAGACATTTATAGGATATTACTTGAATCTATGTATTGCAATAAAAATTAGTAAGTGTTTTACCATTTAAAAATGCTTGCAATACCTCCACAAAACTAACCTTTTTAATACAGCCAGTAACATCTTCTGTTAATAGCCTTGAGAAGATCACACTAAATAAACCATCTAATGTTTTAGGTAATTCTTCTATTTTCTTTGTTAGACTACCAAAATCACCATAAACACGTAGCTCTTCACACATTAATCTGACCCATTGTGGATTATCTGCCCCTGTGTTGTGTATCAACAGGTTTAACTGTTCATCATCTAGTTTCTGGAGAAATTAAATCATATACACCACTAAGTAATGAGTAGAAAGTTGACTCCAAACTGAATATAAAGGCAATGATCTATTTACCAGATGAATACTATCTTCGGCATTTTCACATAGGAAAAAAATTCAAATTTATTTGCACTCATTTGAAGATATTTTCATACAATACTATTTTGATTTACATATTACAAATATTTCAAATCGACAAAACCAAACAATTGAATTTATATAACAAATATTTCAAATGGACAAAACCAAACAATTGAATTTATACAACAAATACGGAATCATTGGTGTCAAAATTATTATTGAAGACATAAGAAATGTGAACACAGACACCCACCTTTTTATAGTTGCCAAGGTAATTGATAGCTAATTCTTTAAGATTTGATTCATTCATTGGTTGTAATGTATACCAATATGTAGGGTATTCGGCTAGACGTGACAGAGTTGGTTTATGTTGGTTAGAACTCACTATACATCTAATATTATTTGGTGTACTAGGAAATAACCAGAATAAATGTTCTCTGAGATCCATGCTAGTTAGCTGAAGAAGATTAAAAGATGATAAAAGGGATATAGTTGTCTAAATAGTCTCATTCTCAGAACTAACAGAGCTAAAGTTCCACACAAATACAACAACAAATATATTTCTGATAAACACTTTGAAAATAATACCTCATTCACTGCATCCAATATCAGAATCATTTTTCTTTTAGAATTCCTGACATTTCTAAAGGCTTCTTGTAAAAGTTCCTTTGGTTTTTTCTTATTTGTTTCTTCAGCGCTCTCTGCTTTAGAATTATTTTCACCATTTTCGTGGCAATCAGTAGTTTTGTCTTGACTGTTAGCTCCAGCATCATTCCTATCCTTTTCACTTTCTTGTGGTGTTTCTATTCAATACAAATCGAAAGTAATTTTGGTAAAATTATGGCAAGGTCATAATTGAAGATCTCTTATGATGAAAAACATTAAGAAGAATAATGTAACGTAGTGAAACTTAGGAACAGAGAAACCTGGGTCTTTAAAAGTGTAAATTAAGGGCTGTTTAAGCCTTTCTTAACAAAATTTGTGGTTCCAAAACAGTGAATTACATTCTAAATGCCCAAAATTATGACAAAAAAGCAATCATAAGAACACCTGTTGGAAAGTACAATAGTTAAAAAAGTGAAAGATACCTGATTGAGATGGCTGTAAAAAGTCTATCAATCTCTGCATCAAATTATCTTCTTGTCTACTTAAATTAGTACTACCACAAAAATGATAAAATATATCTGCATCTTCCTGAAATTAACAATGATTGTCTTCATTTACAGAGTGCATGCATGGATGCTATATGTTTGTTTGGTCTTGGCTGTAATGGTTTTCTGGGTCAAACACAATGTATAAATAAGAAAAAAAAACTTACATTCACAAGTATAGAAGTTACTTTAGCTAATAGTGATGTTTTACCCCAACCACTTTTACCTTCTACTATAAATAGTTTGTTATCATCTTCTTGTATATTCCATCCTTCTATATTTCCTATAATATTAGTAGAGACAAACTGTTACTTTCCAAGCAGTTAATATAAAAAATTACAATTTCAGTGCATTAGTATAAATTCATTACAAATTCATCTCAAACAGTTGTCAAATCAGATATCTGTTTATGGTATAGCAAGGGGTACTGGAACATCAAAAATCACAAATAAGTAACCAATTGGCATTGTATGTATTTATTAACTCCATTTCATTTTCCGATGACAGTTACTGAAGCTTACATTGGTAACTTACTTGCATTGGGGTCTGTTTTATCTAAAAAACAAGAAAATAATGATAGAATTATACAGTCTTTTAATGTAAATCTAAATGCAAATTGTTTTTATCAGAAGATAACAAACAAGAAAGATATTATCAAGATCAGATAGACACATTAAACTGAGTGTTTTCATAAAAACAAATTGTCGCACACTGCTGAAATTTTAACATGGATTTCTCTCTTGGATTACATACAAATTGATCAAGTTAGAGAAATGGGCATGTAGAAACCACATCGAAAAAAAAAAAAACTAAGATGGAGGTGGAGAGGGGGGTGTGGGGTGGTTTGAACCCTGTTGCAGGTTCATAAGAAGACAACACAAGATACAAAGCCATACTCTTACCTCTTAATTCAACATCATTGTTTTTATCTTTAGTAACATCAATCAAAGTTTGTATATCACATTCTCTACCTATCATAGATTCAGCTTTCTCTGATATAAAACTCCATTGTAGATCTTTCTCTAACAAAACAAAGACCATGAATATCAAATATACATATCTTAATTTCAATGATTATGAATGTCAATAATAGATTAAATTAAAAAATACACAACAAAAATATTCAAATGAATCAACATACCTATGTCTTCCATAGAGATGTTTTCTTGTTTTGGTGAAGGATATTTCTTGCTGATTGCTGTTTTGAAGAAATCTAGAACTTCACTTGCAAATGTTTGTAAACTAGTTACTGAAACCTACAATTTAAAATAGATGTAAAATAATTTTTGCAGCTAAAAGCCTACAAGATTGCAAAAATAATACTGCTGTATCTTGGGCAAGATATTGTCTATCTGACAGCTGTGTGAAATAAAGATCTATTATTAATATTATAGTGCTTTTAGAAGATGTTAAATTTGAAAAGCTGATTTCCTGTATGATAGTTACTACTACTTGATGAAGTCAAGTTGTCAAGGTCATAATTTATTTTATTTTAATCAACTCTTAAATAGTATTGAGAGTCTTAGATTGTCTTTCTGTTGATGAAATCACTGAAGCATGATGATTTGACATTTAATTTTCAACTCAAAATTTTGTCATTTTAAGGTGTAATTTCTTGAAAAAAAGTTCAATTCTAATGTAAAATTTTAAGTCCAAAAACACATTTGAAAATTTAAAATATGTATTTATATAATATTGATGAGATGACAATAGTAATTTTATTCTTACCATTTGTTTCCCCATGACATCCATTAAACCATTATACTTCACACTATAGTCAAATACTTGATGAGGAAAACATTCCCTAATTTTAGATTTTTGAAGCTGCAAAAAAAAAATAATCACACCATGAATAATGTTAATTACTATAAAGTGATCATAAAGGGATTGTGAAAGGTTTTTGAAATTTTTCATATGTATCATGAACCTTCAATTTGCAATATTCCAATTTTCAGTAAGACATATGTGGTTCTTGCAATTCCATTGAAACTTAGCTTTTCTGGCCTTACTATCAAAAGCTACTAATGACATATATAAGAACATTTACAACAGTGAAACCATACATAAAATGCCTAGTCTTAGTAGAATTGCAAGATCCACAAATGTCTGCCTAAAAATTGGAATGGAGCTAATTGATACTATCAGTGTCCCTGTTGCACTGGTTGCACATAAAAAAAACCACTTTACAATGATCTCAATAAGATTTACATGTACTTGATTCAAAATATAACAACACTGCAAAGTACAAACACTCAACACTATATGAAAGCACTCTATGTAAACATATACCCTTAATTGTTCTTGACTATAAGTGTCTGTATCTTTAAATTTGACTTGTTGATCTGTTGGTATGTCTTTAATAAAGTCTTTATTTCTTACAAAAAATACTGCATTATCATTACCTTTACTGAAATATACAATGATACAATAAGGGCTCTGACATATGGATCTGGATACAGGACATGTTATTTGCTTCACCAGCTGAGAGAATTTTTGAGCAAAATCACATCATGGCTGTTCTAAGTTTTGTAACTTACTTACTTACTGTAATTAACAAATGCAGCTATTAGGAATTTTATAAATTTATCAATATTGTCTGCATGGGAGAATGACAAAAAGTCTACATTGATAATAGCCTAAGGTCTAACAGACAGTTTTTATTTAGTCATCGGCCTACAAGGTTTACAATGATCATGTTTACTGGAGAAAAACCTCACTAATGCGATTATTGTAAGATGAATTTTATTACTTTAAGTGAACTTAAAAGCCACATACAAGTACATACACGAGAAAAACCTTTCAAATGTAATCTTTGTAAAAAATCATTTGCACATCGTTTTAATTTAATATATCACAGTCGAATCCACACTGGTGAGAAACCCTACAAATGTGATGTTTGTGAAAAAAGTTTTGCTAAAACAGATTCACTTTATGTTCACATGAGAATTCATACTGGAACGAAGCTTTATCAATGTTCTATTTGCGATAGGAAATTTTCTCAGAAAGCTACACTTAAAAGACATATGGCACTACACAACTGAGAAGAGCTTATCAAATATGATGTATCAAAAAGAAGGATAAATTGGGTTTTTCTATTTTCTCCCTACCAGTCACTTAAGAGATTTAATCAGAAATGGAGAATTTCTTAGATTATCATTGTACAATTCATGGGGGTAAATATGTCTTGATATATTATTTTTACAAGCTCCTGATATTCTGAGAGCTGATATACTATTTTTACAATCTCCTTATATTCTGAGAGCTTATATATCATTTTTACAATCTCCTAATATTCTGAGAGCTGATATATTATTTTTACAATCTCCTGATATTCTGAGAGCTTATATATCATTTTTATAATCTCCTGATATTCTGAGAGCTGATATATCATTTTTACAATCTCCTTATATTCTGAGAGCTGATATATTATTTTTACAATCTCCTGATATTCTGAGAGCTGATATATTATTTTTACAATCTCCTAATATTCTGAGAGCTTATATATCACTTTTACAATCTCCTGATATTCTGAGAGCTGATATATCATTTTTACAATCTCCTTATATTCTGAGAGCTGATATATTATTTTTACAATCTCTTGATATTCTATGAGCTAATATATTATTTTTACAATCTCCTGATATTCTGAGAGCTTATATATTATTTTTACAATCTCCTAATATTCTGAGAGCTGATATATTATTTTTACAATCTCCTGATATTCTGAGAGCTTATATATCATTTTTACAATCTCCTGATATGCTGAGAGCTGATATATTATTTTTACAATCTCCTGATATTCTGAGAGCTAATATATCATTTTTATAAGCTTCTGATATTCTGAGAGCTGATATATCATTTTTATAAGCTCCTAATATTCTGAGAGCTTATATATCATTTTTACAATCTCCTGATATTCTGAGAGCTGATATTTCATTTTTATAAGCTTCTGATATTCTGAGAGCTGATATATCATTTTTATAAGCTCCTAATATTCTGAGAGCTTATATATCATTTTTATAAGCTCCTAATATTCTGAGAGCTTATATATCATTTTTATAAGCTCCTAATATTCTGAGAGCTTATATATCATTTTTACAATCTCCTGATATTCTGAGAGCTGATATTTCATTTTTATAAGCTTCTGATATTCTGAGAGCTGATATATCATTTTTATAATCTCCTTATATTCTGAGAGCTGATATATTATTTTTACAATCTCCTAATATTCTGAGAGCTGATATATCATTTTTATAATCTCCTGATATTCTGAGAGCTGATATATCATTTTTATAAGCTCCTAGTATTCTGAGAGCTTATATATCATTTTTACAATCTCCTGATATTCTGAGAGCTGATATTTCATTTTTATAAGCTTCTGATATTCTGAGAGCTGATATTTCATTTTTATAAGCTTCTGATATTCTGAGAGCTAATATATCATTTTTATAAGCTTCTGATATTCTGAGAGCTGATATATCATTTTTATAAGCTCCTAATATTCTGATATATTATTTTTACAAGCCAAAAATATACACAATACAATTTCATCATGTTTGCACAATTAAATTGAATGTATTGCAATTTTAGTTTGTTCAAATAGTTTTTTAAAAAATTGACTTTTTTAATCATTGATTTTGAAGTTTTGTGTGAAGAAATTGAAGCTGTTTTGTTGTACTTATTACCGTAAAGCACCATGCATTATTTCCATGAATGTTATAGATGTATTATGTATCCAATTATACTTCTCTTTAACATCATCTGGTATATCTGTGTCACTTGGTATCCAGCCATATCTAAAAAATATATCAAGCAAACATATATTGGAATTCTTTGACAAAATGACTTTTATGCCTTAAGTTCTTTAGTTGGAAAATTAAAGCTAGACTAATTTATTTTCTTGTTAGTCTAAAGGACAGGAGAGTTTCTGATGATGATTTTCTTTTTTTCATCAGGAATGAAGGTTTTCCTGATTTCTGGAAATTTATGGTAAGAGGATCCATAAAACAATAAAAAGAATTGGTTTGGCTTAAGGAGTATTTAAAAACAATCTATCCTCTTGAGGTTTTCATATCTGAAATTTGCAGCTATAGATTAGTCAGTGACTCACTGCTTACCTGTCACAAGTCATATTCAAAAAGAAAGGTTCCCCTTCATTTGTTTCATGACAAAGATCTAGTTCTTCTAAACATATAGCTATGGTTTCACCAGTAGTGGTATCTTTAGGTACACCCCATCTTAAATCACAATCTATTAACTGAATTCTTCTGCTTTCACACCATTCCCGTAACTCTGGAAACACCTTTAATTTAGGTACAGTATTTCAGTAATAAATGGTAAATACTTTACTTAGAAGTGATGACAATATTATAATTATCAGCCTATTATTGCCTAAGTCTTTTGATATGACCAAAGAGATCTCGTGTTTCTATAAATCATTAGATGAAGGAGCTGAGTAGTGACACAGAATTCTTATCCTGTCGTAAATGAGAAATTTGAAAGTAGGGTGAGCAAACCAAAGCCAAAATCAGTTTTGGTTCCCCAACACATTTGTGCTACAGATGCTGATAACAAGCTCTGTCCGTTGGTTAATGTTAATATATGCATTAAGTCTAAAATAAAAGTTCAGTCTGTACCTGTTTCACCAATATTTCTCTTTCATTGTAAAAATCAGTAAATGTTGAAGATACAAATATTCGAACAGTTCTCCATCCTCCTGCTTTAACAGGTTTTAATTTCTTTTTTTCTTTCTTCTCATTTTTGGTATCATTGTAACATTGACTATCAATTACATTCCAACATTTACGTAATTTATCATATATCTGAAATCATACAATAAAGACTTCTAATAATAAGATACTTATTAGATTAGCCAGATATGCTCTTTTCAGCATGCAGTTATAAAAACAAAATACAAGTACTTAAATGGGCATTCAGCTTTTTTTGTAAAACATTTTCTTTATCAAAAACATTGTAAATTATATTTATATCTATGTATCTACTTGATCAAACTGAATTTGTTTAAAAAGGGTCTATTAAAAACTGTAAGTACTAATTGTTAATTAAGCAGTTTAATCTAGTTTCGGTGATTGGCTTTATAAATGAAATAAAAAGACTGGAGTTTTATGTCCTAATTTTCTGCACCTTGTGGGCTAATGAAGACGGGCGATGCCATGCAGGGTACAATGAGGGAAATTTTGCCAGGACTTTTTTCGATATTCAACTGTCGCAGTATCTTAAACATGCACAGCTTGTAGCACAGTTTGTAGCACAAGAGCCTCAGTTTATTGTACCATCCTTATGACTAGACGCTTTTTCAATGTCAGCTCCTCCTACCTGCATCACTGACAAGGCAAAACCGGGTTGAAAAGTCCAAAGGTATTATCTCGACCTATGCCTGGATTGAACCCTGGACCTTCTGGTTAGCGAGCCACTCATTATATTTAGTTGAAATCTTTAGAAAAGGTAGGAGACATATTTCTCTACAACCAGGTGTTTATTTTACTCAAATCCGTACATTAGTTTTCTAACAGCTTGCAAAAAGCATAGAATTTTGGCGTTAAAAAAATGAAGCACCAAGATTTATTGAAATTAAAGAAAAAGAACCACAACCTATCAAAATTACAACCCAACTACTTAACAGAAAATATACATATTACATCTTAAAATCAAATTCCAATGTAAATTTATGCGCACAAATTATTAAGGGAATTTTATTAGCAAAGTCCCTATCTCTAAATATATCTTTCAATGCATTCTTTAAGAAAGTGTCAATATTTACATTTGAATAGACTCATAATCATAAGATTGTATCAAAAACATTGTCATGAGACAAAAATTACTGTATCGTACTTAAGTATCAATCAAACTTTGAAAATGCAGTTTGGTATGATAACATAATGTAAAACATTGAAATAATCTTATATATATTTAGATGTTGTAATCTTGATAATTAGTCTATGTAGGTCAATTCAATATACATAAGTGGGCTGTTGGTATTTCTTAATATTCGTACAAATATAAACGACTGATTCATAATTCAATGGCCTTGACACAATATGAAACTACATTACAGTTTAAAATATACATGTTATTTTCATATGATAATGTATCTATTAAAGATTTGCAATAAATATATTTATAAACATATATATTGTACATTAATTTTTGATTATAGAAAAATACTTGTACTTCTATTAAATAAACCATTATATGTACAAAAATCTAACCATTAATATTAGCCAAAAATGAAAATGCATTAAATGTAATTCTAAGATGTACCTCCAGTTTTGTGAAGAATTCATCATCTGTATTTTGACCAGAAGACATTTTACATGTTATTTTTAAGCTTCTTATGTTAAAATTAGTCAACAAACTTCTGTATCAAAAGATATTAAGAAACCCTCAGGCAGTTTACACCTTTAATAGTAATTCACTGAACATTATTTAATTATGTGCTCAATAGACCATATATACTAACAGAAATACAGTAATAAAGTAAGAAATTTCAATACTGGACATTGAAATACTTTTTATAAGTCCTCATCTTTATTGGGCATGTTAACTGGCTTTATCTGCCTATCATGAATTAATTTCATATTACACTAGTCTTAGAAATGTGCACTAATTTATTTTTCATTCACAAAGGGCTTTGGTGTGCTGTTTAAACAGTTTTGAATGATAAAAGTATCAAAAGAATATTTTTTAAGCCATTTGAGGATGAAAACTTAAAAAGGAAAATCGGCTGCTAAGTGTTAAATAGTAGAAATAATTGCCACTGAAAAAATTTTTTTCCAGTGGGGTTAAAAACTGGTTGCTCCACCAAAAGAAATTTTAGCTCAACTTACTTCATTGTCCTGTGCATCAAATTGATTTTTCTTATTTTTTAGCTCTTCTTTAAATATTCTATACATACTGCTGCGTCTTCTGGACACTGTTGGTGATTCATATCCTACCTCCTGAAATCATCATAAGCTTACGGTTAATATATTCATTATCGAACACAATTTCATAAACAGAAAAAAGTACACACTAATAGAATTGAAAGTTAAGATATACGAAACAGATGGATCTAAAAACCATCTATAAGCATCTGTATGGTTCAGAGGTAAAAAAAAAGTGGATATTAAACAGTCAGAAGGAGGATAAAAATCCTAACTTGTATCTCATGCAAAATGAAAATTATCTTAAAGAGGATAGTCCTTAAGGCCCTTGCAGAAAACATTAATATGAATGCTCTGACATGATATACAGGATTTATGAATAAATAAACAAATTAAAAGCTTAAATGTACCATAAAATCTTAAGAATTACCATATAGATTATGAAACTAAAATCCTGAAGATAAATTACCAAATAATGGTGAAGTGTTGAGAGTAGTAAATGGTAAATTTTAAGTGATTATCATTGGTTAAAGGAGCATAAACCAGAATTTACACTTTCTAATGAATATATCTAATTTTCAAGCAAAAATCATGTTTTACTCAACTGTAAGATAAATGTTTTAATTTTAATCATTTAAAAATTTTATGATTTATGATGGCAATATTGAAAAAACTAAATATTTTTGCACCCCACAAGTTGCCAAATTGGGAAAAAGAACCTTTTTGAACATTTGATATTCAAGAAAATCAAATCTAAGTTTACCGCTTTCAACACTGTGTGGGTGCACCACAAGAATAAGTAGCTGGTGAAGCAGAAGTTAACATGATCAGTATATGATATTTTATGTTTTCATATTTCATTTTAAGGGCGAATAACAATTAATATGAAGTCAACCTGGTGCAAAGGTGAGTTTCAGTTTCCTTGATCTTATAATAGATCTTCAGTAAATTTGCATAACAGATTAATGACAATGCTACTTTAAGAAATATTAATTTAAATTATTTCCTTCCAAGTGACGTGTAGAGTATCATTATTAGCTGGTGTGAAATAGGATCATAGTTCTTAACTCTTTCCTTGTCATTGAATATCAGCCACATTCAATTTGATAATTCAACAAATTGATAACCTTACATCATAAAATCAGTAAGCTTATATGCTTTAGAAGACAAGTAAATTTCTGAAATTTCATCATCATAAAACGTATAATGACATCCCTAAGTATAGGCACTGTTAGCTAGAAGGTTTTTCTAGACACATAACCATACTTCAATAAAGTTTTACATTTAACATTTTAACCAACCAACCAATCAATCAATTTGTAGGCTAGGCATGAACATTTTATCCAATTCCACTACATGGAATAAATTTCTTTTCATATAGAATTTCAAATTAAGCTTTTATTAACTATTTTATAGGTTTTTTACATTTTTTTGTTTAGTTAATCATTTAAGTTTTATTGTTCTGAAATGTAGGCTACAATATTGTAGGCCTACTTAAACTAAAAGCACTGGCTGGCTACCTGACCTAGGCCTTAACTTCTTAAATACATCTCCTATTAAAACTTTATCTTTATCTGATTACAATATACATATTTTAACTTAAATCCTAAATACATCATTTCCTTGTTCACTCATTCTTTATTTCATTTTAATACATACCAATGAAGGAGCAAGGCAAAATTAAAAAATTAAGTCTGGAAAAGGAAGAGTTACTAGACAAGCCTGAACACGTGTGTTTGTTTACATCACGTGATTTATTCAAAATGGCTGCACCCATGTGTTGATAAAAGCATGTTTATGTGATTTTGTAATAAATTTTAGTAATAAATATATTATACAAGCTACTGGGAATGATGAACGTTGTTCCGTGGATTAACAGGTTAATAAAGCTTATATTATATAATCGAAATAGTCCTATCGGGTTATGATATGTATATAAGTGGTAAATAGTAGTGGAGTGCAGAAATAGAGACCAGAGTCGGCCAAGATTAAGAAAGGAAATTTGAAATGTAGCCTAATGTATTGGAGGGGGACAGTGACTATAGTGTAAATAGAAGACAAAAAAGGCCAGTGACACACAATAATATTGAAAACTTTGTTATGAATTTTGAGTAAATTGTGAATTTTCGTAAAATGTATAAATGAAAGATGATCTTTACATTTGTTTTTTTATATAGAGAAGAATTTATAAAAGTATATGAAGAACTATTTCATACCAATAATATCTATGATATACAACATGCTATAGATAGAATACAAGCTTGGAAAAATAGGTAAGTTGTGACTCCAATAGCATAGCTAGGTCTACGTTAGTTTTGAAGTTTGTCTAAAATAAGTAATAGTTGGATCATAACCACTTACTTAGAACTCAATGCTAGCTGTCAGTCAAAATGTCATTTGATTTAGAAATTCTACATAATCAAGTAGCCACTTAAAAGAAAAAGTGGACTTATAGGTTCTGATAAATGATAAAAATAGAAATGACCATAAACAGTTTCTTTTCTCATTCAATATTTGACAAAATGTACCGTCAGTCATGCTTTTCTTCAATCCAAGCTTATATTTAAAAAGAAAATTGACAGTATATTTATCCTGTAACAGGGTATACTTTGATGGAATAATCATGGTATAGCTATTCAAGAGAATAGTGGTTGAATTCAAATGCTTTTGATAGTATATTGCCATTGATATACCATGTCAGTTTTATAGAATTTGTCTTATTCTTGTGGATGTTAATTTTAGAAGTAATAGACTACCTGTAGCTATAGAGGCTTCAAGAGAACTAACAATAGCTTTGTTGCTATATAAGGTTAACCAAGCTTCAAATACAGTCTTTGAGAAACAAGAAGAAATATGTCGAGAGCTAAGTTTAGCTATTGTAAGGTATGTGTACATGAGTTCATGTATTTATCTTCTGTTTTAAACATCATTAGGGCTTTCACTAATTTAGGTCAAAATGAGCTAAAAAGATATCCTTGGTCGAACTCCAACAATGTAAAAAGTCAAATTTTGAGAGAAGATCACTTACTCTGTATCTCCATTGACTTGTAGGTTCGTCAATCATATAACTGAAGGTGGACAAACAAGAGAATTTGCTCGTCCAATAATTGTCATTGCAAAAGAGGTAAGATTCATCAAATAATCATAAAGTTTTTGTAAATTATATGAAAAAAATATCTACAAAGTTTTATTAGAATTACATAAAATTATGAGCAGAAATGACAACTTAGTGAAGTGAAGAACGTCATAAGCTTCAAAGATACTTGGACAAACATTTTGGAAACAGTGTCTCCCAGCTTACCAAAACCTATTACAGCTGAGTTGACTGTTATAACTTAAAGTAGATAATGATTCATTTTCATTCTTGTATTTTGCTTTTGGAAAAGGATCTTTTAAAATAAAGCTTATGATATTGATGTTTCTGTTGTAGTATGGTATTCCAGAATGGATTGTCCATTTACGTCATGAAATAACACACAGTTCAATACCAGCATTTGATGTGTTATTACGAGGTGTCAATACAGCTTTACAGTGGTTACAGGTATGATATTTATGTTGGGTTGAACGGCATGGCATTTTTTGACAGCCTTGCTTCAATTATATTGTCTTTGATCATATCATACAAACCCAAAAAGTGACTGATTTGTACGTATATGTACTAATTTCAAACAAGCCTTCTGCAGTTTTTCAGTTGAATTGACCATTTTGCTAGCTTGAAAAGAAATATATTTGAAATCAAGGAGCTTTTCAAACCTCTTTAGTGGAAATCAAAGTTCAGTAGTGAATCCTTTGCACATCTGTCATCGAACTATTATTCAGATGACTAAAACTTTAACTCTAATAATGTTGTTTTTCAGGAAAGATTTTGGGATGTACAGATTCAAACATCACCATCTAAAGCTCAAATTATCTCAAAGAAAAAGTTTGATATAAAAGAGATACTTCAGTCTTATATTAAACAACGTTTAAAGGTAAAAATCATCTTAACAAAACCAATTTTTATAATCACATAAATTGGTTTGAAGTAAAGGGTTGATCTTATTCATTTTAATATAATCATACTATTCTGAAGTTGAAATCAGAAAAAAACGGTGGTCCAGGGATGTCATCTTAGTTAGTTGGCATCAGCTTTGTGTGTTCAAATAAGTGATATGTCCTTATAATTGAAATTGCAAGTGTTGATAATCTGGGAAAGATCATTTGACCAAAGATTAGCTGATTTTTTAAGGAACCTCACAAAGGGTTATCATCCTTGGAATTTTAAAGAAAAAATGCTTCACACTCACATAAGTGTAATTTAGCTTTTGATTGTTTGAAAATCAGTTAAATGGATAGATACTTAATTTTCACATTAATATTAAATTTTTCAGGCTGTTGAAGCTGGTTATGGAATTCATGGTTCACAAAGTCTATCTAAAAATACTATAGTAGCATTTTCTCAAAGTGCATACAAGTGAGTTTAAGTTAGATATCTGAATAAAATGTATAAAATGACGTCATATAATCTGAAAGGAATGCCTTTAGCTTTGCTTCTATTATGTACTATAGTATGTTAAAAAACATAACTAAATGACATGAGCTCCCCTTATTCTGTCAGTTCAAATTTTGGAAATAAAATCCATCACAGGTGGAATACTATTATGTAATGTTACAGTTGATTGTATGTTGGTATTTCAGAAAAGAGTTATTATGTTGCTTATGTGATGTTGGTGGTTTAATACCTACAGATAAACAATTACAGATATTTGATATTAAATCTCAAGGTGATTAAAATACATGTATATAAATTGTTAAGTCTCCTTTTTTTAATGATCGATTGGTGCAGAACCTGTGTTAACATGCCATCCATTGCTCATTGAAAGGAATTCATATGAGATTTTCTACCCTTTATCAGAAAAACTTAAGGCTTCTATGTCAGCCATTTAGAATTTCTGTCAGATGTGTTTCATTTAATACAGAAGAACTTGACCATGACTATGATTAGTCTTTCTGAATTGCAGGAACCACAAACAGTGTTTGTTCAATTATGAAAAGCCTTCTTTAAACTCTCTTTTTGCAGTCTGAAGAAACATGTTCTTCACTGAAATTTGAATTATTTATTTCAGATTTAGTCCATACTACAGATCTGTCATTACCTAGTATACTAGTACTATTTTGGACACCAGTATTAAAACTGATAAAAACACTAGGCTATGGAGTTGATTTGATATGTGATTTGATTAGGAATATTAAAAATTCAAATATATTACAAACAAGACTAATCTGTGGATGGATTTATCAGTTAACTTTTAAAAGTAAGTTCTTTTAGTTGAATTTGTTCATAGAATTTGTTAACAAATGATCAGCCTATTGAAGTCTTTTTTGTTACTTTGTAACTCATTGTATTTAGCATTCATCCTATTCATAGATTGGTTGAGAACTTCCTGTTAAGGCAGGTGCGAAAGAATTCTGGTTATTGAACATTTTCAGGAATATTCCATAAAGATTATGAAATAGTTGGAAGTTATGTATATATTTCCATTTTGTTCCATACGAATTATTAACAATGAATTGCTCAATTTTTATTTTCAATTTATAATTTTAGTTGAAAATTGTACTAAGAAGAGTATACATATGTGTTTATTACCTACAGAGACATCTTGTATGGTACTGGGCCGAATAATGCACAAACCAACAGTATACACACCACTCCTTGTACATCAGTAAGTTTTAACCTTATATTATGTGAGTAAACCAATACCTTAAATCAAGTAAGAATGTAACAATATTTTAAATAGCAGTTTAGGACTTAATGCCTAAATTCCCTTTTTGCACAATAGAATGAGAATAAAACTGGGTTTAATTTAATGGATTGATGAGAACTCTAAGTTTAGAGGAGATGATGTTTCGTTGGAGTTCATTTATTGAAAAGCTATCTTTTTATGTCTTATAGTTTTAACCAACAGCATCCATTGAATATAAATGTAGAAAAGAAGCTCCTAGATGTACTACAAATGTATCATTCAATTGATGATGATGATGATGTTACTGATGATTTGATGGACTGTGGAAGTATAGTTGCTTCTGATGATGACACTTTGCTAAAGGATGTACATCATATTCAAGGTATTTGTATAGGTATCTCAAGATATTTTAAAGATATCTTCTACATTATATAATAAACTGTATTATTGGCTGGAAATATGTTTTGTATTTTATTAAAAGCTCAAATTTTAAAAATCATGTTTGTGTTTGCAAAAACCTACAATGCCTTCAGCATTTTGATTTTTTTTAAATATTGTTGGCATTTATACTTTTTTCTATCTCCCAGATATTGTAACCAGTCAAACTAAACACACTGGATATTGGAAGCTTCATAACAGTGAGTAATGCTTGTTTAAGATTAGACAAATTTCATGATTCATTGCTATCAACAGGGTGGAATATTCTAAAACGAGAAAGAATTCTGATCTCAATTTCCTACATGTCTTAAATTCCAGATAAAATGGTCTAAATTTATCATCTCAGTTTTATATGTCAGTTTTCAAATTTGAAACTTGTCTACAATTTAATAAAAATCATACTAGCATTATTGAAGTACCTGTATCAGTGACATCTGTACCTAATTGACAAGAACTAATCTTCTACTGTATGTTACAGGTGATATTGATTGGTCATCAGTACCATTAGGATGTCTACCTGGTCAACTATTAGACTGTGATGATTTAGAGATAACTGTAGACACTCATGGTACCATCAATTCTCAGCTTCCCAGCTACCAGCCTGAACAAACTACATCATCAGATCATACAGGTTCATCAGAGTTTACAAGGTAAATATAACCAGAGACTCTTCCTTTTACAATCAGATCATCACCAGATCATACTATTGCAAATCATAATCATACAGATTCACATGACCAAATTATTTCAGCAACTACCTTTAAGTTGATAACAGCAGTTGACAGGATGTTCAAGATATACGGAATAAGAGGCCAGCCATAATATTATAAGTACCATATGAAGTGATTTATTAAGTAACCTTCCTTATTTCAGACTCAAACAGAACAGGACAGAAAAAAGATTTACAGCAGAACAAGAAAATTATATGAAAAATAAAATAAACAGTTTTATAACTTGAATTTTAAGTTATGTTTCTCTTTTGAGTGGGATTATGCATGAAGCTGATGTATAAATATATGGCTGAAAAACTGGATTCTATGTAAAATGTTTTTGCCCCCCTGTAGCTTCAGGCCTGTCTGTTTTCCACAGTGCAGTTGAAAGGACAGTCAGCTGTGCTAAGGAATCTACAGTCTGTAGCAAATAAAGACCTCAAATTTTCTCAATACTTTTTTATGTCAGCCTGTAGCACTCATTAGGTAAATATGAAGGGACTTTGAAACACCTAACATCTATGTGGTAATTTCCAAATGTAATGATATTTTTATTCAATAATGTCCATTGATTAAAACACACAACGTAGTGAATTAACAAGCTAACTATAGTAAATCAAACAATATGTTTGTGCATAAGATATGTGTTAATAGCAAAACAATATATTACAAAAGCCATCATCATTACAGCAAGTTTCTTTCTTTATGACAAATTTCATAAGGGTTTGCATAATGTTAAACATTAAGATCTTTCAATTAGATATTCTGAATAAAAGACTCATATACTTAAAAGAAAATCCAATGTTGTACTATTCTACCATGAAATTTGTCATATACGTAAGAGAACTTTGTATGAAGATGTGAAAATTAAAGCATACATAGTATGTGACATTATTTATAGCAAAATATAAATCTATATATATATATATATTTCAGGTCAGGTCCCATATTCCAAACAATCTTCAGTCAATTTTTTTGTTGGATTAAGTGCAGTAAATGAATTATACTTTCTGTTCAAATTTCCATCATAAGATTATTTAAGGCAAAATAGCCTGGGCATTTCCGACTTAGTAGCATAAATATTATTTAATTTACCTATTTCAATGAAACATTAAAGCTGTTCAAACAATTATTAGTCCAACTTTGAGTAATAGTTGTAGATGGATTCCATAGTGAAAATGTCATGAACTTACTTATCACAGAAACACCCCGTAATGGCATCGAAGTAAATTTCATCAAATCAAATTTATCTCAAAATTGTATCATATCTTTTTGTAACAAATTTTCCTGTCTGTAATTTTTAGATTGATGCTACATTATATTTAAATTACCTTACTTATGATACCGAGGAAATATTTCAACAATTTTTACATGTTATAAGGAAGGCTTTTTAAGTTCAACATTCAATTTTCAATAATTTCCCTATTTCTTTCCATGCCATTGATGCAATAAACATTTTACTGTTTAACTTTGGCTTTCTGACATATTTCAAATTGCACATTTTTAAAAACAAACACAATATCAAATTAAACATGATACAGAAAAATATTCGCTGTGTGCAACTTGGAAACTGTTTTGTTATTTCCTTTAAAAGCCTTTATTGTAACCAAAGTGAAGAACAAGTTTAACTTTAACTAAGATTGCTATGACTTGATTTTCGTCACCAAAACCAAAATTATCAAACAAAAAAACACAAATACAGATCTCTACAGAATTATGGTACATTAATGTACAATAAATTTATTGAATAAGAAAAAGATGTCAAATAGTATCGAAAAATTGAGATCATAAGTTTGATTAGAAAACAATTCAAGCCATTTAATATTTGGCAAGTAAAACAATTAATAAAAATTATTGGATACATTGCCTACAAATAACATCTATATTAACATTACATCATACAATGGCCTCAAAAAAAGAGGTACTTAAAAATTTCACCCTACTGATGACAAAGACATCTGCCTCACTTCTCCACCTCTTGATGGTAGCAGAACATGTTTACAATTCATTAGCATTCAATGAATTTTGAAAGTGAAACATCATATGCAAATCCTGTGAAGGGTTTATGAACTAGATGCATTCAAGCTAACAAATCATAGTTAAATACCATACTCTTGTAGTAATCCTGTTTTACTTTATGACTAAGTCACTATGATTCAGCTTAAGCTGTTAATGATGATGACAAAGGCCACTAATCAACAACCACTAGTTTTACTTACTAATAATATAAGTACACAATGTTTTAGGATCTTTCTCATGCGGGTGTTCATTCATTACAGCTTTTACCTTAGACTTTGGAAACAAATTACACAGATGGGAAAATGTATTGTACCTTGGATCTGTGGGAAGTATTTCAGCATCAGCTGAGTAAGATAGGGAAGGTACATAAGGTGGTGATGTTGGTAGAAACACTGGTTGTTGATAAGAAGGTACTGGTCCTGGTTGTGTAGGTGACCAGATATTAGAGGGATCTGGTGATTGGTAGTTTGTAGAGTTGTAATAGCCAGATGTTAGATAGGGACTGGGTGGTTGAGTTGGTGGTGACATTATTCCACTGTTCTGTCTCATCACCTGACTACCAACATTTCTATTGTTCACTCCTCTATGATGTAAACTCTGCTGCATCATTGCTTGTTCTTGATCATGAATTGCTTGTAACTGTGTATCTGAATAGCTATTTAGCCTCATCAATGGGCTTGGGTGTTGGATTTGTTCAGGACCGCTACCTCTATTATTGACCATTCCAGAATGATTTGGTGGATAACGATACATTGGATTCATGTAACCAACTGTATTGTGGTAGCCCTGATTTAAACCACTCGGTATATAACCATAAGGATTCCTTTCTACAAAAGGGTAAGATGGTAAATGCCCATCGTAAGGGTCTGGCATAGCATTTTGTCTCATGTACGTGGGTGGTCCTGAATAATATGTTCCACTTTCAAGGTGTGAAGGATAGGAAGATGAACTATGTACCGAATAATTACTGGACATATGATGACCAGTTCCATAGGGTAACTTAGTAAATTGTGATTGATGGTCCAGTGATGGTTCATGTGATTGAGAATGAGTTCTCATTTGAGTCCATGAGGTTTGTGGTACTGAACTGTGAGTTGACACATTTGAAGATGATTGACTTCTTTCATTGACAAAAAAGCTTTCATTACTGGTAGCTTCATCTGAAAGTTTTTTGACAAGTTGAATAACACCTCTATGATTGTCTGATTCTGTGGCATCTGAAGTCTGCGTTGAAAATTTGGGAGGAGGCAAGGTGGACCCAAATGGTGGTAATACAGTTATTTGTGGTTCTATGTGCTCTATATTTCCACTACAACTTTGAACAGAAACTTTTTGGATGTCAAAAGCTGGCACTGGACTTGCCTCCCTTGATTTAATCTGTTCTGACAATTTTCTCCTTTGTTCATCTAAAATGGCATTTATATCAGCTTTTTCTATGCCTTTATCTTTAGAAATTTTAGAGTCTTTAGAGTCATCAACAGATTCAGACTTATGGTATTCTCTATGAGTTTTCATTTCCAATGACAAGCTTTCCTCAGGAAAGAGAGACTTGGTTCTTTTTAGTAATTGTTTGCTTCTTTCCTTATCTTTTTTCTTTTTCTCTGAAATAGAAAAAGAAATCATCAATTGAAAGAGCAGAAATTCGTAAATGATTAAGTTAAAACATAGCTTTATTATTACATCGGTAAATCAAATTTACTCAATTTCATGCAAAATCGATTTTAGTAGAGGCACTTAAAGCAAAGTGATTTGAGTCTTAAATATATGTAAATAGTCCTCAGAAGTACTAGAAATCGTAGATAATTCTGGACACACATGGATTTGAAGGCTCAAATTTCAACGGTGAGCTGTGAACACTATAACTGATAGCCTTAGCTAAAAAAATTTCCTGTATATGAGACTAAGGTATGATTGGTCCAAAAGATGGCATCTGTCCCTTTGGAAATCAAAGGTACAGAGGCATTTTAATTCTCACCTTCTAATTTGATAGCTCTATCTTTAATCTTCTGATAGCTCTGTTCTGATAATATATCTGTAACAGAACGTTGTGGTCGGTTTCCCCTTTCAGGATGGGCAAACCTGCATTTATTACCATAAGTACATTTTTTACCATATGGACAGGGTTGTAATGGTTCAGAAACAACAGGTTTAATTCTTAAGAAATTATCCAGCGTTGGTCCATGTTTTCCTAATGGATCCTCTGGTGGCATAAATCTGTAAAAATATTAAATTAAATAATAGCTAGTTCAGGATAAAAGGAATTTTACGAAGTATTAATAACGCATATAGTCAGCGGCAAGACATCTATGTGCATCCAATGTCATGAACAAGACCAATCTGTTTTGACATTAATTTGCTAAAAATTTGACATATTTATACCAAAACAACTTAGTGTTTTTTAATACCTCAAACAAAAGTTGAATTTATTATGTTTTAAACGATACATAGACATCTTTACCTAACTCTACCTACATAATTATATGCAACTCTGTTTAAATTTATTATGTTTTGAGCAATACATAATTATCTTTACACAACTTTACCTACATATAAGAACTATAACAACTCTATTTGAAAGTAATCCACCAAGTTATATATGATAAATTTAAAGAATTATGCTACAATTTACTCATAACAAGCACTTACTTGTCTTCAGCAAATAAATAAGGTAAGAGTTGTTCTTCTGCCACTTTTTTATACTGAGTCTTTTCATTATGGAGATCTCTATAATTATCATTTGATACCACAATGCCATTTTTATCATGAGCTAAATCTAATATAAATCTGTCATCATAACAAACAACTCTTTTACCACCTATCCTTCGCGATGGCGTAAACACAAGTACTTTTTCTTTTTCTAGCTGTCTCATGATTTCTTGATCTAAAGTAACAAAATGAAAATATTATATTTCTTATTAACATCTATTAACATTGCCATAACTTTGGTAATAACTGCATGCAAGAAGACCAGAGAATGATAATTTAAATTATTAAGTTATTGTTAGGAGAAGCAGGCGTCAGATTTTAACATAATTATTAAGTTTATGGATAGGTGAAAGGATTCTATACTTAAAAAAAACATTCATTAAAAACACATACCTTTTATTTGAGCACCTGGTCTTGAAGTTTCTTTCCGCCATTGTGGTACAAAAACTGTTATCTTTTTATGTCCTCTCTGTCTAAAATAATCTACAGCTAACTTTATACCGCGACATGAAAATACTTCCTTATAACCATGACTATAAAATATAAATATTTCATTATAAACAGGAAAATATTCATTGTGTCACCCAATATTGTACTATTAAAGGGAATGTTGACAGGCTTTATATCTCTTTATTTGAATTTCCAGAGACTTCTAATTCCAAAGTTTCAATGCCCATTTTTTTTCAAATTTTGAAATTTCAATCGATCTTTAATTAACAATTTCATGACCATTTAGTACTCAACCGATAAAACTGGTAATAACTGTATGTGAGAATATTAATGACAAACAAGGCATGAAAATTATGAAAATGCAGTACAGATCAAATTCATTTGCTGTTAAAGCAAACATTTAGACAATGGTACCGGTATTCATCTTTTCTTTTCTTTTCTTTTCTTTGCAACTAAGCTAATATTCTATATGTATACAATGTAGATCACAAATTACAAAAACCTTCTCCCAACCGATTTAAATTTGAATGTGATAATTTTCAGTAAAAGACCATTATTTAACTAGAAAGCTTATCTATAGTGACACATATTATTTAATTCACATTAAAGCAAATTTAAATATAATTTCATCTCTTATCTCTTTCATTTGTGTGTTTATATTACTGACTGAAAATTTCAACAAATTTAGAATTGTAATATGCTTAATCATGGATGTTTTCATTCCTTATTGTTCGTCTTTGTTCATTTCTTTTTGCGTCTTATGACTACTAAGAATATTAATAATATTTACCAACTAAAGTTAACCTATTTTTTTTTTTAACTACTTTCCTGTTTGATTGAATGATATAGTAGTTATAGTACATGTACTAACATACCAGGATCTAAATATATCAATTTCTTAGAAAAATACTGTTAATTCGTAGTAATTGCTGATGTATTAAACAAGGAAAATTGACAATTCAGTATAGTTCGACCTATTTTCAGTGTTTACTTAAGTCGATATAGTTTCCTATATATACACCTAGACAGAAATTAAACAGAAATGAAATGAACACTTCAATTTATAACATGATCCTCTATGGTAATTTTTCTATATTAGTATATAAATGAGTTGCATTAAAATGAACAGACTATAGAAATACAGAATCCATTCTATGAAGTTACTCTATTTCACTGCCTAGTAACAATGACATCTGCTGAAACCATCAAATTTCTACCCTCTCCAGCGCTGGCTTTTTGTGACACAGTGTTTATCAGGATAGGTCAAAAGGTTGAGGAATGTTCAAAGGGGCTGAAGTTCTCCGATCCTAACTCAAGTGGTTATATTAAAAATAAAAGCTAAGTTTGTTCTTATTTTAATTAGACTGCATTACCATGCTGATTCAAACTTTAAAATGAAATTTTCTGTGTGCTTGTAGGCTTTAAAGTTTGAATTGAATGTACTCATCTTAAGCTAGATCAACTTGTTAATAAGGAAAGATGAATATCTATAAAGGCGAATTTCTTCTTCCTTATCTATTTTGAATGTAAAATTAGGTAGCAAATACACAAGAAATTGAGCATGAAATCTCTATCATCATTTATTACACTGTATAACTGCGGAGACAAGATTATGGTAATAGAAATTTTATACCATCAAAAGGCTGGGTTCAATCGAAATTGCATTTCCTCCACAATTTATTGCATTAAAAGATTTTTCTCCATTAACTATTATATCTTACCTCATAGCGACATTACTACCATCTATTACAATAGGTTTTAAATTACTAGAATCATCAGCATTCTCTGGTAATATCACGTTATCGTTATTATCACAAATGTCCTCCACAAATGGTGCTAAGTTTATAGTAGAATCAGATGATGTGGCACCTTCCTTAATTAGTTCTGATAACAGAGTATTAGGATCAACACTGCCAGCAGTTGTACCCAATTTTTTAAGAACTGCTACAATCTGATCCTCAGAAAAACCAAGTCTTAATGCTTTCTCTACATGATTAGAATGATCAGGATCTGATAAAATTCTGTCTGTTTCATCTTCAGGACTGCTGTAGTAAGAGTGATCTCCCTCTTTTCTCAAATCTAATGGAAGTTGTAAGTGACTTGGTGTTTCTACATGACAAAAGTCTATTTCAAGATCATCACCACAGGAGCTTTTGTTAACTTCTTCACTCTGAGAACCAAAGAGTGAAGAGTCATCCACTTCCTGTAACTCATCCAAATTCTCAGGAATTCGTCCACCTCGAGCACTTAAACCACTTTTTTTCACATTGTCATTTAAGTTCAAGTTTTGAATTTCTGTATTCAAGAAAGGTTTCTGGTTGTCCCACATGAGAGATTTTTCTGACATGGATTGATTTGGGAGTAAGCTTTTAATATAGTTACACGCTTCTATAACACTATCCCTGTTTCCTTGAATACAAATCTGGTTTTGATCATTTAAGCTTGTATCAAAATATATCTGAAACACTTCTTCAATTTTATTATAATCATTTAATACCATTTTGAAATCTCCTTCTTGCAGCAATAATCTCTTCTTTATGAAATCTTCACTTTCACCCAAAACTGCTTGCAAATATTTCTGTAATGAGAAATTAGTTTAAATAAGAAGCTATATCATATTTTATATTGGACTGCAGTTAAATTTAAATACACTTACAAAAAAACACTTCTTTTCTTAAAAAAAATTACCTTTAAAGGTGTGAGAAACTAAAATAGATCTAATGTCAAATGGGTGATACAAATCATGTAAGATATACATTTAGAAATATAGGATCTTATCATTCAATGCGTGTCTATTGTGTGATGTATTTTTTTGTTTATATCTGTCCTTTGGAAGACTTATAATTGGTCAATGGTACTCTAACGCATGTTTCCTGAATATCACAAAGTGGTCTGTTCGAGCAATTATTGAATTAATTTATAGCTGCAGGGAAACCAAATAGTGAATTGTGTTTCAGATGTCCAATGAAATGTCACATTCAAAAGTTGAAACAATTCTATAAGATTAAATACGTGTTTATCAATAACACATATACAACGTATATAAACATATAAAACCCTCAGCACTTATTATAAAAGCATAAATGTCTTCCTATTCCCTGTATAACCTTATAATAGTCTTCCTAATATTTTTACAATTTTTACTTTTAGGCAATTGGCTATGCCCCTTTTAAAACATTGAGGAAGTCTTATAATTTGATATGACCTAAGATAGGACTATATCTATGCGAAGCTAATTGTGAATTGACAAAGAGACACAAACAAGGTAGTGTATATATTTTCGGGTGATTCTATTGTACACAGTTGAATTAAATCATGGAATAATCTACATGTTATTGGTTAATGTTGATAGTTCCCGTTCTCAGCATGATAAGATTACTGGTTATAAAATTAGCTGTAAAAATGTTATCAATGTATTTACGACAAATGTTTCAAGTGTCTCAATATTCATTATGTAATCTTTTTCTCTCAAAAAGAATCACCCTAGCTGTGCTTTCATTATCACATTGTTACAACCTAAAATGCCTAGTAGTAGATATGTTTGAGCGCCCAAACTCTGCACATCCTTTTAAAAAAAACCTCATCCATTAAGCAACATTATTATGATTCATTCTCATTCATGGCTCATTTAAAGTTATGTGCAGTACAAATTTCATTGTTATTCAATAAATTCAAATATATTGAGTCATCCATTCACATGATCTTTTTCAAGGGTAGAAGTAATATGATCAATTTATGACACAAGGAAGATTAAAAAGTGAATCAATTTCAATCTGATCTACTGAAATAAAGTTCTAAAGATAACAAAGATTCATATCACATTGTAGTGATCTTATGAGTAAATCATTATTAGGGTACCTGCTAAGCACAGAAGATACCTGAGAAGCCTTTGGGAAAATATTTCAAAAGTAGAAATTATAAATATCAGCAATTGATTCCAATATCTACGTCAACACAGTGAACAGTTCATCACTTGATCAATATTTAATACCCTTTACTTTCCATATGGTGGAAGAAGGGGTAGAAAGAGTCCAAAAGATGGTTACCATATCAACTGGCTTACTTTCTTAAATGTATGTATAGCCTACATTTATAATAAGAGGGATTTTTGTCATTATAGCACTTTGTATATATTGAATCCTTTTAAATATTACTTGTATAATTGTACTGAAGATAAAAATTATAAGCCTCATTGATACATATTTGAAGGCCAGAAAATAATTGTTGGTATCATAAAGACTTTTGTAATTTCTTCAATTAAATGTTGACCATCAAATAGTTGATTGAATACTTGGACTATAGATAGTTATACCAGTATTTGAAATCTTACAAGTCTAGATAATTATAAATATTAAACTACAAGGTCAATAAGTGTATTGTCATTGTCTAGGATCGTTTGAAAACAACAATTTTTACACAAAAAAGAGATAAATATTAATGTAAATTAACAATGACAATATATATAAATCTAATTATATATTTACCTGCATGTAATAGGAAGTGAATCAAATTTCAAATCTACACAACCCTTTTTGATTTACCTTTTTGTCTTGTTTTTTTGCATGTGAGTGCCACTACAAAACTCATATACCCAGTATAAGTTTGAGAGTGTAAAATCTTACAGATTTAGGTTTTTATCTACATTGACTGATCACTGAATCCAAATTTTAGTGTTTCATCTTAGTTGAAATGATAAAACTAAAATTTCATACCTCATTAAATAGCAACTTTTCATTATAAAACTACTATATGATTTCACAATACTAATTAATACTTACTAATATTTTCCTAAATGTGTGGCTGGGAAGGACTGGTCAAAATGTACTTTATGACCTTTGTAATCTATTTCAATAACAGGAAAATTAATTTAGGATCTATCATGACCCTGTTATAACAACCGTTGCACATTAGTCCACATACTTATCTTATCAATCTTATCAGAGATTAAATATTTATATAATGAAAATATACCAATACTTATATATGGTATTAGGTATATTTAAATGAACCAGAAACATGTTGTTACTCAGAGTTTCATGTCGTGCAATCTTCAGACAACTGATCTATTTCAGCCTATATGGTACATATGTAATACTTAAAATACACCCTATATGAAGTGAATGTCAAAAAAGGATCGCTGGCACTTGATTATGTGATATCAGGCCTGTAGCAAAGGCCTGTATGGCTTGTAAGGTTACAAAGTTGAGACCCCTTTATAAATTTTGGCACAAGACCCTGGGCTAGCTACGGGTCTGAGTGATAGATAGCTCATAGAGCATAGAGCTCAATTTCATATAAATAGCATGTTTAAGAATTCCAACTCCAATTTAAAATGACTTTCTAGACAAAAAAGCTATTGCGCATCTATCAATTGACTGAATATATCTATAAATGATAGATACGTAATTACAACAGCATACAATATGAAATCTTTTCAATTCCATTCACTCAATAAGACAAAATAAATTGTTGTTCAAAAATGATTTTTTTATCTAGCTTGAACTTAATTAGGCAACATCAGCCAACCATATCAAAATCGTGACAAGTAAAATAAATCTAGTGATCCCTAATATGTACCTAAATTTATTTAATGAGTAGGAAATAACAAAGATCCTTACCTAACATTTGAAAATCGAATATCAAATTGACAGAATTGTTAAGTTCCATCTCATTTATATATATATGCTTATAAAAGAATGATGTTAAATAGTACAGAATAAATCGAATATTTTAGTTATTGGAGTTACTCTACAAAATTTTAGCCCTAAATTTTCCGACATAACAATGACAATTTGAATGTGTAGGATTACTTCGTCTTATTGTGGGGCTTAATCATAATGAGTTATGTAATTCAGTTCTACGCCCCTGTTAATTTATTCATGGTATGAAGTGAAGAAAATCAATTTGAAAAACAGCTTACTCACTATCTAACTAGACCACACCCAAAAATTAAATGTGTCACAGTTAGAAAAACCTGAACTATTTGTAACTCACTATTCAAATCATAGTATAGTAGGCTGATATAGTAACTGACCTATTTATTGCAAAATATGATATAAATAATCCTTCTTATTCATTATCAATACTTAACATTTCAAGTTAATATGTAATAATCATTCAATAGTTAAATTCCACTACACAAATCACAAATCAGAAAAGTTAAAAAATGCCGATTGTGTAAGATTTTTAGGTTGTGTTATCATCTAGGTGAAAAAATATTTTGAAATTATTGCAGCGTATCCATCCCAGTGAGCCTATAAAAAACTGATAAAATAACGTATTAAAATTCTTCATTATTATAATAATAATCAGTTTCCCACAATTTCAATCCAGTTATGCCATATGAACTTGTTAAAAAAAATTAATAAAGCTTTACACAAATTTAACAGACAATCCATGAGTACAGGTACAAAATGTTCAAAATAAGACTGTAAATGAACTTGACATTGTTCCTCTAACAAGGATTACCTATGATTCCTTGATAAGTGAGGGGCAATTATCACAATATGAAGCACTTTGTATGTAAAAGGATGTTCCACATTGTTAATTGAAAAGTGTTTGCTAGTGCAATGTCATATTAAATATTCTTCATATACAACCAATCAGACGCGTTGCAGAAAAGCAGGATATCAAACAGTATCTTATTTTAAGTTCATATCTTACATTAGCTTATAAACTATATGTAAATGATTCTGAAAAAGGTCAGAATCTCAAAATCCATTTTTACTAATATGTGTTCTTGCAATACTGACATCATACTAAACAATATACTAGGTACAGAAAATGGATGGGTAATCAGAATGTTGGAAAAAGAAGCATAGGTACATAGGTAAGAAAAATATTAATCCAATTAAATGGCTTCCACAAATTAAGAACATTAACATGTGTGATATTTTACAGTCAAATTAAAATTGAATTTTATTTTTAATCAAGCCTCTTCATTTAGGGTCAAACAATGACCTTCTAGATGATACCACCAGCTAAACTGATTTCTGCCTTCTCCAAAACTGGGAT